GAGAGAGACAGAGAGAGACAGAGAGAGACAGAGAGAGACAGAGAGAGACAGAGAGAGAGGGGGGGGGCAGGCAGGCAGGCAGGCAAGCAGGCAGGCATTGCTTTCCTTGCTCCCAAATGCTTCCTTGCCTGCTGGGACAGTTAAGAAAGCACTTGGGAGTGAAGTTTGAAGTCCAAACTAGACGTGTATTGTAGGAAGAGAGCTACATCCATCAATATAAGCTAGAGACACATTTTAATAATATTTTTTTCATTTTTGCTCACAAACCTTCTGCCTTTTGATGAAATGTCGGTGGACACAGAGAAGCAGTCAAAAATGTCAAAATGGCAGCCACACTGAAGCAATCAAAGCCCCATCCCTTTTATGGGATTAAATGGGGTAGGTCTTTCCTCTTTTTGTTGTGGCTGCCTTCTTGACTTTCTTTGAGCAGTTGCCCAAGGCACACATTTACAAGTAGTCATTGATTTACAATCACAGTTACAACCCAAATTTCCATTGCTAAACAAGATGGTTGTTAAGTGAGTTGTCCCCAATTTTATGACTTTTTTTGTCATGGTTGTTAAGCAAATCACTGCCGGTTTTTTTATGTGAGTTGTGCAGTTGTTAACCAAATATGTCTTCCCCCATTGACTTTGCGTGTCAGAAGCTGCCCATCACATAATCCTAGGATGCTACAACTGTGGTAAACAATATGCTGGTTGCCAAGCGCTCAATATTCAAGTTCTCACATATTTGTGGGAAAGCTACAATGGTCATAAGTGTGAGGACCAATCATAAATCATTTTTTCAGTGCTGTTGTAACTTTGAATGTCTCTAAACAAATGGTTGTAAGTTGACGACTACTCACAGTTCTGATAGTTTGAGGCTCAGCATTTGATATCTCTGCTATTGCATCTTTTCACCCCAACATGTTCAAGTCTTTGATAGAGAGAAGCTGGTGGCAGAGTTTTTAACAACACCATCTCCAGCTTCCCAGTAAAAGAAGGGAAAACTTTACTGATATCTGCAAAGCAGCAGCCAGGATATGAGATTTAGAGGACAGTTCAGAAAGGACTTGGGAATCAATCTAATGTGTATTGTCTGAAGAGAACTGCATCTATCTATATAAGGGAACATGTACTCCATCTACATTCTGACCTGAGCTTAGTGCACAAGATAATCTGCCACAACGTCCTACCTGTTAATGACTACTTTTACTTCAACTGCAATAACACAGGGCCATCAATAGATACAAACTGAATGTAATCCACTCTAATCTTGATTGCAGGAAAAACGATGTCAGCAATAGAGTAGTAAATGTGTGGAAGACCCTACTTGATCCTGTTGTTAGTTACTCTAACCCCCTATCTTTTACCTTAAGCTATCTCCCTGGAACCTTATGTGTTTCTTAAGAGGTCCCTAAGGGGGCATGCATAAGCCCACCAGCATGCCTACCATCCCTGTCCTACTGTCCTACATCTTTTTATATGTTCATGGCTATGTTTTGCTTACTTATATCAATTTATTTGTGCCATTTTTTCACATGTTTTCATACTTGTTTCGTTGTACTTGTTGACAAATAAATAAAAATAAATAAATAAACATTCAGGAGGTCACAGTGTAATATTTTTTCTCTTTTTTGCTCACAAAAACTGCCTTTTGATGAAATAGGTCAGCTTGAAAAGTTGCTACTGAAACTGGATGGGGCAAAGCAATCAGGGACAAAGCTCACGGCTTAAAAACATACAATTATTGTTAATTGTGTTACAGACAGTATGGAATTAGGTCAGATTGTGCAAGAGCAAACAAGAGGCTGCAACTTCACTGAACAAAATTCTCAGTCTGGATTTGTCAGCCATCAGACAGAGGCAGGAGGAAGCCTGTGGATTCAGTGATACCTACTTTAATGCAGTGTTTCTCATTCATGGTAGCTTGAAAATTGATGGGTTTCAGCTCCCAAAATTCTCCAGCTCGGACCAATTCTGGGAGTCCACCTATCTTGAAGTGCCCATGTTTGAGAAACACTGCACTAGACTAAAGTATTAATATACAAGTATATATTCAAGAATGAGACATAGAATAAAAATAGTTAGGATATGATAGTGAAGAAAGGGGAATAGGAAATGATAAGTATAAAGGTATGAATAGGTTTGCGGGAATACCATGCCAAAAATACACCAGTTGAGAGATGAAAAGAGATAACCACAACAGAAAAGGATAAGAAGAGAGGAGGAGAGGAGGAGAGGGGGAAGGAGGGGGAAGGAAGGAAGGAAGAGGAAAGGAAAGGAGAGGAAGGAGGGAAGGGATAGAAAGAGAAGGAGAGAGGGTAGGAAGGGGAAGAGGAAGACAGGAGTAGCGGAGAGGCAAGGGAAGATGGAAGGGAAAGGAGAGGAGGAAGGAAGGAAGTAGAGAAGGGAGGGAGGGAGAAAAGAAGGAAAAATAGGCTGGTGATAACATAAAATAGGTGTATGGGATGGTAAGCAAAGCAATCCAGAATGTATATTTTTAACCTTTTATATGGGAAAACAAATGTGTAAAAGTAATCAATACAAATAAGAACAATAACTATGTGAATGTATACCCTGTAATTGTATGTAAGAGATTAAAAATAAAAAACTTTAAAAAAAAAGAGAGACTAAACTGGCTCTCAAGGTTACTCTCTTTCCCATTTTGTTTATTTGTTTGTTTCTATGCCATACATTTTATGCCAGCTTCCATATCAGAACGTAAACCAAAGTAGCCAACGAATCTTCTATTTGCAACAGCAAAGGGGCCCCACCTTCTCCAATGCACCTGGAGGCAGCAGCTGGCTAGCCCATATATTTTTCTGTCAGTTGAATTGCTTTCTTGTGGCAAGAAAAGTAGGTTGCTGATATTTCCAACAAAACTAAATAACCCTCTCATGGTTGCTCCTGCCAGCAGCTTCCCTCTGCTCAACGATAGGCCAGCCTTGACTCCAGCTGCTTCCAAGAGGCACCCATGTTGTCAATGCAAAGTATCAGACATCTCTCCTCCCTCCTTTCCCTCCCCACTATGGAAGGCTGACAAGAAAGCAGACTAATTGTGCAACAATAGGCATGACTGGAAGCCCTTGAAGCTTAGAAGGAAGTGGTTCTCAATCTTGCCCCCCCCCCCCCCGCAGCAGAACACAGAGGCTGGGACACAGGATAAATCATAAAAAGGCAAATACATTTTCCACAAATGATCAACATACAAACAAAATGCTAATAAAGGAGAAGCTTTAATGTTTTCTAGCATAAAATGATACTCTAATCAAGAAACTAGGATGGGAAAACCACACTCACCTACCAACACATGAAGGATAAGGAAACAAACTCCACTCTTCCTCACACTGAACATCTTACCTACTTGGGTAATTAAATGTCTCTGCAAGCTAACAACCAAGCTCAGGCAGTGTCAAGGACTCCATAGCTGCAAATATCCTTTTGTGTTGGAATTAATGGTTTCTTGAGAAAAGTGGGGGTTCTGGTGTAGGGAATCCCATGTTCGTTGACAGAGGGGCTGGTGGGATATACAGAATACAGAATAGAAGAGATGGGAGGAGCCTTAGAAATCTTCTAGTCCAATTCCCTGCCCAAGCAGAAGGCCCTATACCATTTCAGACAAATGACTGTCCAACCTCTTCTTAAAAACCTCCAGTAATGAGCACCCATGAAATCTGGAGGCAAGCTGTTCCACTGATTATTTTTTCTCATTGAGAAGGAAATTTCTTCTCAATTCTAGGTCGCATCTCTTTTTGATAGGGTCTACCACAACTCACCCCAGTCAACTTGCTGTGGCCAACTTGCCACAGCCAACTCACCAAGGCCAACTGACTGCAGGACAACTCACCGTGGGACAAAAATTACACTAATGTTGAAGAAATGGTGGAATAGAATCATTAAAGAAAGGATGCCAAAGGAGAGACAAAATAAAAAGTGAATGACAAAAATTGAAAATTTTTAATTATTTAAAATAATTAAATTGGATTGTTGAATTGTCCTGCAGCAAGTTGGCCCATAGCAAGTTGGCCATGGCGAGTTGTCCTGTAGTGAGTTGGCTGGACAGGTTGGACATAGTGAGGGGACCAGGGCAAGTTGGCTATAGCAAGTTGGTTATGGCGAGTTGCCCATTCCACTTTGATAAGCTTCCACTAATTACTTCTTATCCTGCCATTTTCTCTTTGACAGCCCCTCAAATATTGGAAGACTGCTCTCATGTAAGGCACCCAATGACACTTCTCCAAAGTTGTTTTTAAGTTTCCCCCTCCAATCTTTTTGTCGTTTTCCTAGTACAGAGGAAATGATGACCAGAGCCTTGTCTAAACAAATTACCTTTGGTGGATTCACTCTCTCGAATAAGGAAAGCACCATGTGTATTACCAGCAGTGAGAAGGCGGCGCTCAGCATCCTTCCTGCCGAGGGCTTTGAAAAACCAACTGCAAAAAACAACACATTGTTGATTACAGAGTTCTATCTACAGCCCATCGTGCATTTTAGAGTTTTACGTAAGCGACCGCAGCTATTCTGACTTAAAATGAAACAAGGTGAGTATATTGTTTATTACAGAAGAAAAGATCACATTTACATTTTAATTTGAAACCTTTTGGGCCACTCTGCAAAATGAATATATACAGTAAATATTTCCACTATAGCCTATAAAATATTTTTTTTTAAAAAAAAACCATATATTTATATTGATCCACAAGAACAAAGTAGAGAAAAGAGAATTGTAGTGTCACACAATCCAAACATATATAGGGCAAAATATTTTATTTCTTGCAAAACCATTCCCAAATTAGTCCATCTGCCTTAAGAACAAAAGCATTTGCCATTTGCTCAGTAAAGATCTTTTCAACCCCTAAATGTTGCCCCACTTTTCTTACTGTTGAATTAAAGAACTATGCATCTGTACTACAAAGATCAGAATTGTGCAATTCACAAAGATGCTCTTTGTGACCCTATGTGAAAGTGAACAGAGTGAACATTGGACTTTGAAGAAAGAAAACACCAACAATAAACCCCATTTATTTGTATCCATTTCATGCAACCATAATCTTGTATATACTTATATATATTATCTTATACACACTTGACAAAACAAATAAATAAAGTAAAAATAAAAATAAAACACCTTCAAATACTGATGTTGAAGGAGACTCCTTGGTTGAGGCACAAAGGATTCAATTATTATGTTTTGACATATTAGTTGAATACCCAGCTCCCTTGAAAGTCCAGACTGTTGGGAAAAATGGAAGAAGGGGGGGGAGAGGACAAGCAACAACAAACTGGAGGGACTCAATTACAGTGGTGAAAGATAAAACACAAGAAGACCTAAAGAACTAGGTTGGGAGTTGGTACCACTTTACCCTGAGAAAAATCCTCCTCAACTTTAGAGCACAGAAAGTAAGCACCCCAAGAGATTGTACTTGTACTCAGTGATGACTAGGCCACGATCCTGATGGATCAAGATGGAGGTTGTCTTTTTTGTGCAACCTCTAAATACTCTCCAAGTATAGCTTCTGAGAAACATCTTGCAGTCAGACCTCCAGTGTGGTTATCACAAAGACCAAAGTCCCTGTGACTACTTTTCTTGTGGTGTCCACAGCATGCCCTCAAATCTCATCAGCCAAAATGATTCAGGTGGATGGATGCCTTGCGGTAAAAAAAGAGCCACTTACTTCCGTGGGTTAGAACCTTGATTCAGTAGCTGTGACCTCGATGAGGCCAGAGCTACTGAATCCTCAACAAAATCAACAGAAACACTGCAGAAACATGGCAGTCCAAAAAGCGCGCACAGAGTTGTCAAAGTCCTTCATGAGAACATCGAGCGAGACCTCTTGTCTGACAGCGAGGACGAGGTTTTCTGCCTGCAATTTGACAGGAAGAAGACAGCACGTGAAATTGAAAACCATTTCCCGCCTTGTGCTGGCTGCGGGGGAAACCACCAAAGATCAGCCTGCCATTTCAGGGACACCATCTGCCAGCAGTGTGACCAAAGAGGACACCTGGCCCAAGTCTGCAAAGGGGAACTACCATCCGCTCAACAACCAAAGAATGTGTTTAGCCAGTTAGGGAAACTGAGGCAACCCAGACGAGAGGTTTGGAATCCCCAGTGGAAGCAAGAGACAGCAGAATCAACTGAAGTGTTCCAAACAAAAATCTGACAAGCCAGCACACCAAAAAACAAAAATCTGAGAGTCACCATCCACATTGAGGGGTCACCGTGCAGCATGGAAATTGATACTGGATCATCCTTGACCATTGTATCCTGGGCCACACTCAAGAAGACCATCCTGAGTCTGAAAAGGCATAAGCTGAAGCACCAAGAGCTGAGACTCAGCAACTACCAGGGGAATTGCATCCCCGTACTAGGCTGTGGCACATTCTGTGTCCAATTTAAGAGTTTGGATGGACTACTCTCATTGACAGTGGTCAGTGGCTCCCTTCCAAGCCTACTTAGCTTGGACTAGTTCAAATCCCTGGGTATGGGGGTAATCGGCATCAATGCCATCCGAGATGACAGCACCGAATAGTTGCTCCGCAAGTTCGAGGATGTCTTCAGTGGAGGTCTTGGCAAGTATGTGGGGACTCCTATAGCATTTAACCTTGACCCCAACATAGCCCTCATTCGATTGAAGGCCTGGAGGGTCCCTTTTGCCCTCCAACCTAAAATTGACCAAGAATTGGACAAACTAATTGGCCAGGGGATTCTGGAGCCGGTTCACCATGCATGCTGGGAGACCCCTATTGTGACCCCAGTAAAGCCCGAAGGGTCTATCTGCATCTGTGCAGACTATAAGTGCACCCTAAATAAAGCCCTCCAACAGAGTGCATACCCGGTGCCAATCGTCCAGCATTTACTGCATTCCCTTGGCCCCTAGAAAAATATTTGGCAAATTAGATCTGGTGCAGGCGTACCAGCAATTGCCAGTAGATGACACTACAGTGGAGGCCCAAACCATTGCAATGCATAGGGGTGCATTCAAATGCACTAGATTACAATTTGGCATTAGCATTGCCACTGGACTGTTCCAAAGCATCATGGAACATCTTTTGCAGGGGATACCAGGAGTTGTCCCTTATTTCAATGATGTCTTGATATCCGCTGCAAATAAGGAGCAAATTTCAAACGTTTACAAGTGGTTTTGGCCAGAATTAGAGAGAAGGGCCTCCGTTTGAAAAAGGAGAAATATCAAATTGCAGCAGGGTTGAATTCCTGGGATATTTGGTAGATGGCTCCAGAATTCACCCAACAAATGCTAAAATTAAAGCTATTCAGGACGCCCCCACACCTTGCAACCAGACCGAGCTGCAGGCGTTCCTCGGACTTCTCAACTTTTATATCATTTTCTTGTAACAGAAAGCAATTGTAGCCGAACCACTGCACCGGCTCCTCTGAAAGAAGGCCAAGTGGACATGGGGGAGAACCAAAGCTGCTGCATTTGTCACTGTCAAACAGCTGCTGTCAGCTGACACTTTCCTGGTGCAATACAACCAGACTCTCCCATTGGTGCTAACCTGTGATGCGTCACCTTTCGGCATTGGGGCAGTCCTCAGCCATCACATGCCAAATTAAACTGAAGCCCCCATCATGTATTATTCTAGGACCCTGTTTGCCGCTGAGCACAACTACAGCCAGTTGGACAGGGAAGCACTGGATGTGGTGGCAGGGGTCAAGCGGCTTCACAAATATGTGTACGGCTGAGACTTTGAACTTGTCATGGACCATAAACCGCTGTTGGGGCTCTGGGCTGCGGACCGACCCACTTCTGCATCTCTCTCACTGCATATGACCCATTGGAGTGTTTTCCTCGTGGCCTATAGCTACCGCCTCATTCATCGGCCAGGTATGACTTTGGACCATGCTAACACCCTCAACAGATGCCCTTTGCCTGAACTTTGGGATGATCCTACCCCCAAGGCGCCTGTTTTGCTCATAGACTGCCTTGAGACTGGCCCGGTGTCATCAAATGAGGTCGCCCACCACTCAGTGAGAGACAAAACCATCTCTCAGGTTCTGAACTGGGGGTGGAGGGGGTGGCCCAAGGGACCAGTTGGGCTGAGTTTAAACCATTTATTGCAAAACAAAATGAACTATCTGCATTGAGGGGATGTTTACTGTGGGGGGACCGGGTGATTGTTCCACCCAAACTGTGAGTTGCAGTATTAGAGACCTTACATGTAGGGCATCTGGGGATTGTCCGGATGAAATCTTTGTCAAGGAGTTACCTGTGGTGGCCTAACATGGATGGGGAGATTGCAGAGTGGGTAGCAACCTGCACACTGTGCCAGGAATCCTGACCATCTCCCCCAGAGGTACCTGAACATGAATGGGAGAGGCCCAAGGCACCCTGGTCTAGAGTGCACATTGACTTTGCCAACCTGTGCATGGACAAACTTTCCTCGTAGTTGTGGATGCCTATTCGAAATGGTTAGAGGTAGTCCTCATGACCACCACCACGGCAGAGGTGCTACAGAGACTTTTCTCTATGCACGGCCTTCCCAATGGTCTGGTCTCAGACAACAGGCCCCAATTCACAGCCATCCAATTCAAGACCTATTAGCAGAGCAGGGAATCAGACATGCCCTGGTTCCCCCCCACCCCCCAATTCCATCTGGCTAGCAATGGCCAGGCGGAAAGAATGATGTGATCTGCAAAAGAAGCCCTATCCAGGATGGGGCCTGGTGATTGACAAACCCGAATCGATAAAATTCCTCCTTGTATGCCTAGTGCCAAGTGCCACAACTGGCAGAAGCCCCTCTGAATTACTAATGGATCGTCTCCCTTAGACTGGCTGCACCCAAACTATTCTGCCAATAATCCATTGATTCAACCAGTCAACTATGGTCATTTAGAATAGGGGATCGAGTGTATGCCCACATCTATGTTGGGGGTGCTCTCTGGGTTCCTGCCCCAATTGTAGAAATTACCAGCCCTCGCACTTACTGCTTAGAGCTTGAGGATGGTAGAAGTTGGAGGCGATACATTGACCAACTCCGAGGCTGACTCAGCCATTCCACTCTTAAGCAACCAGAGGTACCTCCTGCATGAGTTAGCTAAAGACCTACCCAAAAGGAGCAATCGTACACTCCTTCCACAGACTTCTCAATCCTGAAAGAGCTGGAGTACTTATCTGGGGAAGTTGGAGGCCCGCAGCAAACTCCAGGTGAACTGGCTCTGAAAATTCCATCCACACCCTGGGAAAGTTTCCAGGAGTTTCCATCAGTTGCAGCAGTTGGAGAGTCAACAGGTCCATCCAACCTGACTGAAGTACTAGCACCAACTGAACTGCACAGGTCTGAGAGGGTTCCTAAGCACCCTGCCTATTTGGGTCAGTACATCACTAGTTGGATTAGCCCAACTAAGAGGGGAGGGGTGTTACATACTGACAGCCAAGTAATAGGCTCCACCAAGGTCCTCCATTCTGGCAGGAGA